AAGGTCTCACAGTAAGTCAGAGACACAGCCAAGATTAGAGCACAGCCCTGCTGAATTCTCACCCTGGTTTTGTGTTCCCTTGGAGAACCCCTGGCACGCCAAGCACAAGGCTTCTGTGAGGGGATGCCTGGTGGAGGGACCTCTCTGTATGAGCAGGTCCAGGCCTCAGCAGAACCTCAGACACATCATAAGAGGAAAGGAATATCCCCTTACTAAAGTACCTTTTTCCATCTGCTTCATTTCCCTTGAACCAGGGAGCAGGGTCTGAGATAGCTGAGGCCAGGCCCCCTAGCTGAAGTGCAATACAAGAGCTGGGTGACGTAGGAGAGGAGATGGGCCATAGGAACAGGACTGGATGGGGCTGTGGGATGTGACTCTGGGCTGCTCTTTACTTAGTGCCCCTTGCTGGGTCATCTTAGGCCGATGTGCCCCCAGGCTGGTAGCTATCTGCCAGTGTACTTTAGTGTCTATGATAAGGTCAAGAGATATCTCATTTTCACCCCAGTCCACCTACGCACAAACCCTGTCTTCTTCTCCTTAGGAGATGCCTCCACACAACAAGCCAAGGTAGGGCAAACTCATTGTCTCATTTCTTTTTTTTTTTTTTTTTGAGACAGAGCCTCATTATGTTGCCCTCAATAGAGCACTGTAATATCACAGCTCACAGCAACCTCAAACTCTTAGGCTTAAGTGATTCTCTTGCTTCAGACTCCCAAGTAGCTGGGCCTACAGGTGCCTGCTACAACGCCTGGCTATTTTTTGTTGTTGTCGTTGTTGTGGTTATCATTGTTGTTTTAGCTGGCCTGGGCTGGATTTGAACCCGCCAGCCTGGGTGTATGTGGCCGGTGCCCTACCCACTGAGCTAGCCTCTTTTTTTTTTTTTTTTTTTGAGACAGAGTCTCAAGCTATTGCGCTGGGTAGAGTGCCATGGCATCACAGCTCACAGCAACCTCTAACTCCTCGGCTTAAGCAATTCTTTTGCCTCAGCCTCCCAAGTAGCTGGGACTATAGGTGCCCGCCACAACGTCCGGTTATTTTTTCTGGTTGTAGTTGTCCTGGTTTGGCTGGCCTGGGCTGGATTTGAATTCACCAGCTCTGGTGTATGTGGTTGGTGCCTTAGCTGCTTGAGCTACAGGCACCAAGCTAATTGTCCTGTTTCTGAGATGGGCCTCCACCATCCTTCCAAGCTTCAAACCTCCAACATAGCCTTGACAAACTCCCTCTTTCCACCCCATTTGAAGTCCATCCCTCACCAAGTCCAGTTTGATCGGTGAAGTCCCTCAGACATGCACCCCTTAGGCCTGTGCATCTCTGACCACTCCCCCAAGCCCCCTCACTGGACTCCTTGCCACCACCTACACCCCTAATACTGCAGTGGTGAGGTTTTCCTAAAACACAAATCTGACCAAATACCATAAAGTTCAAAACCCTTTCATGGCTCTCTAGTGCCGTTGGGCTAATGTCCAAACTCCTCATTCTGGCACTCAGGCCCTGGTTGATCAAGTCTCTGCTTCTACCCTCATCTTGTCTCAAGCACAACAAACAGTCCCATGGTCATATCTTTGCTCAGGGACAACTCTTTTATCTTCTAACACCTATATCTCAATAGTTTAGCTCTGTGTCTGCCATATTCTGTGTTAAGGTGGCTTCATATTCCTCTTCTCATTTAGTCCTGAGAGACTCAGAGAGGCTAAACAACCTCTCCAGGGTCACAAAGCTAGCAAACAGCAGAGCAGCTCTGATCTGGCTGACTTCAGAAGCTATGCCTCTGACCATACCTCTTATCTGCAAGGCCCAGGCCTCTCCCTGGGAAGCTCCCTGATTATCCCTCTTGCAGTCCCACAGATCTGCCTGTCTGGTCAGTTCTCCACCAGAGGAGTGCTCAACAGGAAGGGCCCTGGATTTATTCTTCTTAGTACTTCCCTAGTATGAGGTGGCCATGATGGTTATTATACCTATCTTACAGATGGAAAAACTAAGACCAGAAAGGGTAGCTCAAGATCTCATCCAAGCTCACTGATAAGGCAAGGGCAGAGCCAAGGATTGTATACAGACCACCTTCCCCTTGACCTGACTCTGGTCCTATCCCAGTCTGGATCTTTCTCTCTGTGGCTCTAGGCTAGTGAGCCTAAAACTGGGAGGAGGAGCTGGTGCAGTTCTCAGGCTGGCTGCGGAATTTCTAAGGTGGTTGGACAACATTCCAGCTGTTCCACTAGGGTGTGCCATGCAGCCTGACTGGTGGACCCTGTCCAACCTGGCAGAGAAGAGTGCCCTGTCACCACTCCAGAGACCCCTGCTGCCTATCTCTGCCAGGGGTGGAATGCAAGGGGAACAGGGGAAACAGAACCTGCACCCAGAACCAAACCCCATCAAGGGGGTAGAAGAGGGATCTGGGCAAATGGGAAATCTCACTTCTACTATTCCCAGCTGTAGGACTTGGACAAGTCTCTTAACTCCAAACCCAAATCTCAGTTTCCTCTCAATATCAGAACAGTACCTGCTTCAGAGGGTTGCTGAGATTGTTAAATGAGATGATTTAGACTCATTTTAAGAACATAAGAGATTTCAGCACGTGGAAAAGGTAGGGAGGATGAGAATATATCAGGAAGACAAGAGGGGCAGGAAATCCCACAGGAATTATGGGCAGGGGCTACAAGTAGCAAGGTCATAGCCAGACTGTCCATAGATGAAGTTTCCAACACTGATAGAATCCTCCGGAGAAGCAGTCCAGGGACCCTATTTAGGAGCTGACACCTGCCATACTCCTTCACTCAGTCACCCTTCACAAAGGTCGCCGTGTCTATGCCTGTCCCTGTGTAGGGCACTTGGGGACTTGGAGGCCTGTCAGAAGCTTTCCTGATCTCAAGGAGCTCACTGTCAAGAGGCACACTTGGAAACATGCATGACAATTCAGAGTGTCAAGGAGGTCCCAGATGGGAATGGAGGGTGGCTAAAGAAGGTTTCCTGGAGCAGAGGACACCTGGCCTGCATGAAGATAAGTTGGAGTCAGCTGATTGGAGAACGAGAGAGAAGGAGCAGAGCAAGAGATGACCTGATATACTTGGGGAACTGGTGATCATCCCGGTGCCTTAGGAGTAGAGAGGGCAAGGCTGGGTTGCACAGGCTTGGGAGCTTAGAAGTCACCTCTGTTCCCTCCCAAATGCCCTCCAAGAGGCTAAAGGCCAGCAGGTCCCTCTTCCTTGCCTAATGTGCTTCTGCATTCTGAGCATTGGGGCTGGTCTGCAGAAATAGCCAAGGGGTAACCTCAGATATTATCAGCCAGTGCTATTGTGGGTGAGGACTCTCCTTTAGGAGGCCCCTTGGGCTCTGTAGTCCCTCCCAGAGGCTCTCTCCCTGTCAGGAGCCCCCAGGATCCCAGATGTGGGGGCCACTCACTAAAGCTGAGTTCAGAGCATCTGAATAGAGGTGTCTACTCAGGTAGAAACCTACGTAGACACCTACAATCATCCAGGCTTGCCGATCAGGAAACCAAGACCCCTAAAGAGGAAGGACCTTACTTAAAGTCTCGTGTTCTAATTATTGACAATGTGGGGTTGAGCACACCACCCCCGACCCAGAGCAGAACTCCTACCTCCAACTTAGCACAGCCCAGGACAGGGCCATAGAGATGTGCTACTGAATTGAACAGTTTCAGAACCACAACACCCTGGATGTTGCTTCAACCTATCACAACCAATGACTCCAGCCAGACTTAAAAGGCAAGAACTCTGAGTTCAGGCTTAAACTTGGAACCACCTATGCTGTGAAATCTTGGTCATGTCAGTCCCCCTCTCTGAGCCTAGGGATCTTCCCTGGTCAAATGAGGAGAATCACTGCTACACAGGACAGCTCATGAGGAATAAGATAGGGACAGGTGGGTGCTCCATGGTGCTGGCAAATTGTGCACTGTCCTGATGTGGAGGATGTGTCTTCTTCCTGTTGCAACAGAGAGACAATAAAATCCAGAGACCCACAGTGATTTTCAATGGTGGGGGAGCCCAGGTGTCCCTGGCAAAGAGGCAGAGGTCACAGAGCAGTCAGGAAAGGCTCCTGGAAGGGCTGTGATTAAGTTTGAGGAAGAGCTTGGAAGGAAAGAGGTAGAATGGAGAACCCAGCCTTTGTACTGCACTTCAGCTAGAGGGCCTGGCCTCAGCTATCTCAGACCCTGCTCCCCGGTTCTAGGGAAATGAAGCAGATGGGAAAAGGCACTTTAGGAAGGGGGTATTCCTTTCCTCTTATGATGTGTCTGAGGTTCTGCTGAGGTCTGGACCTGCTCATATAGAGAGGTCCCTCCACCAGGCATCCCCTCACAGAAGCCTTGTGCTTGGCGTGCCAGGGGTTCTCCAAGGGAACACAAAACCAGGGTGAGAATTCAGCAGGGCTGTGCTCTAATCTTGGCTGTGTCTCTGACTTACTGTGAGACCTTGAGCCTCAGCTTCCTCTTCTGTGAAAGGGGGTTTGGCACAGGTGATTTCTGGAGGCTGCTCCAGGCCTGGACTCTGTGTGACCACTGCATGTATGTCTGAGTGTGGCTCTGTGCGCCTCTGTATATCTGTGTGTCTGTGCCTGTGTTTTTGGATATGGGGTGTGTGTTTTGAGCACCTGGTGGGGGGATGCTTAGAGCTGGGAGGGTACAATGGAGTGTATAGTGGACAAGGAGGGTATTGACCATTTCCCGCTATGGGACCAAAGCCACAGAACCAGGCCCAAGGGAGGGAACACTTGGCTTAGCTCTGCGGGACATGGGGTAGGGAGAGATTTTCCCCTAGCAGAGTCATTTTCTGTGAAAGGGGATACCTGGGGAAGGGGGCTGGAACACGTGAGTGGGGATGGACTGCTGAGATGTAGGGATGCAGAGGACACTGTGACCAGGACAAGCACACCAGGCCACCCTTCTGCCTTGTTCAGGCCAAGGATGAATCAGAGGTGGTGGCCCTGGGAGGACTTGGTCTGGCTGGCTTCCCTTGACCCATGCTGTTTCCACTTCCCTATGTCTGTAGGAGCCCCCTGCAGGTTGTGGTACTGCCTGCCCTGAAAAATGCTGGAGGCTGGGCGTGGCCCCAGGCGGGAGACCTGTTTTTCCTGTTTCCCACAGAATTCCTTGCAGCCCCGTCCAGGCCTGTGTGTTCATGAGTAAGGAACCTGAGCATCCTGACCTCAAGAACAGGGGCTGATCAGGTACAGGGTGCCAACGTGGGCCCAAGGCCGGGCAGGTGTGCGTGCATGCTGTGACTGCGTGTGCACTAATCCGGGATTAGACTGCAGAGTTCCAGAGCAAGTGGCCTGCCCTGCTTCCTCATCCTAGGCTGTGAGGAATTCAGGCTTTAGAGACAGACAGCCCTGAGTATCAAGCCCAGTTTTTCCAATTCCTGGCAATGTGACTTTAAACAAATAGCTTAACCTCTGTGGTACTGTCTACCAAAGGGTGGAGGTGGGAGATGGGGATGAAATGAAGGTGCTACATAGAAGCTGCTCAGCCAAGTCTGGCCCCTACAAAGCCAGGTGGCTGGCAGTGGGGGAGAACCCCTGAGCAGACCTATGACCTGAGTCGATAGAAACACAGGGCTGGCCTCAAGCCCCTCTAGAATGCCTGAGTCCAAGTCCCCTCTCCCTGCCATTTTCCTGCCTTGTCCAGAGAAGCGAAGAGCCTTCTGGGTCTCTGCAGCTGATGAAAGAGAGACAGTACAGATGCCTGTCTAGGTATAAAGCAGGTCCCAGGTATGCTGGGTCCCTAGGAGAGCTGGGCTGTCCCCTGGCCACCTAGGGTCAGCAGATGAGAAATCCTTATATGCCACTGTCCTCTAAGAGGCCCTTAGAGAAGGAAGGGAGAGGAGAGGCACCTTCTTCAAGCTCAGCCTCCTCTGAGCTCTCATAACCTCTTGAGCTTGATTTATTCATTCTTTCTCTTGTTCCTGTAATCCCTGCTGTGGGGGCCTCTTGCTGGGTGATAGGGACAGAGAAAAGAATTAGATAGATCCAACCCTCAAAGAGAACTGGAATTTGTTGGGTTAGAGGCTAGAAGGACAAATTACCCACAAGGAATGCCCTGAGGGGTGATGGTGGAAGGGGAGAGCTTCAGAGATGAGGTGACATTTCAGAAGTGTGTGGGAGTTCTGGAAGGATGTTCCAGACAGAAGGGACATCATGAGCAAAGGTGGGGAAGCCTGGAAGGACCCTTAAATGGCTCACATCTCCCCTCCAGATGGGGAGCTCCTCAGGGCGGAGCCAGCCAGACTGGGCCCAGAGTTGAGTAGTATTGGACAAAGTCAGGTGGGATCTGGGTGTAGTCCCAAGGGCAGCCAAAATCAGGAGAGGCAGAGGGGGATGCTGAGGGATAGGACTGGGGACTTTGTTGTCTCCCTAAAACAGAGGCTGAGGCTAGGAAAGATGTACTGCCAGGTTGGTGAGCCAGCTTATGGAAGGAGAGGCCACGCAGGGTCAGCCTGGACCAGAGCCCATAGTGATGGGGTCCCCAGCTGGACTGGAAGGGTGGAGGCCAGGATATCTTAAAACAGGTGGAGGAGCAGCTCCCTAGGTTAATGGGGAGACAGGGAAATCTCCACCCCTCTTGTTAGTGTCAGATATTCCACCATTAGTGATTAGCAGGAAACTCTTGGTGCAGAGCCATGAGATACTGGCTGTGAAGGAAAGATGAAGGCCCTGACCTTAATCTGAGGAGAGACCAGCCAGGCCTTGGCCCTGGGACAGGAGAGCAGAACCAGCATCGAGGGGGCTAGGTGTGCCCAGAGCATGGAGGAAGCTGTTGTCACTGTTTCCAATGGGGCAGAGGACCTGGGAGAGGTTTTCAGGCTGCAGTTCTTAAGGCTGGAGAATTTGACCTGTGAGAGGTCTGAGATTCGGGAGAGAAAGAAATGCCTAATGTCATCTGGGTTTTATGGCAGAGCTAAACAGGAACCTAAGCTTTATGAGTCCCAAGCCAGGGCTCTGTCCTAGGAGGGAATGTGGGCCCTCTACAGCTCCTTGGTCTCACACTTGGGACCTCTCCATGCTCCTCCTGCAGCTTCTGTGAGCCAGCAGCTCCCAGACCACCTTCTAAGGCATCAGACCCAACAGGCCCAGTTTGCACTCATCCACACACTGACCACATCTGATGTGAAATTCCTCATCTCCCACCCCTCCCCTATCAGCGAAAGGTCTCTGGTGCCTCCCTCCCAAATATCACTGAGGTCTGCCTATTCATGGGGTTTGCTTGTGCCTTCCCTGCCCCCCGACTCTCACCTCTGCAGCCTCCAATCAGGCCCTGCAGCCCCTCTTTCACCGTGGTCTGAGAGAGCTTCCTAAGGGTTCTGGAAAAGGTCACCTCTGAGCTGAGCCTTGATGCTCAGAACACCACAGTGTATCTACTGTGTCCCCAGGATCTGCTCCAAACATTTCATACAAATTACTCAATCTCCAAGCAGTCTTATGATGGAGAGTCTATTAACCACCTCATTTTATAGCCAGGAAACAAAGGCAGTCTGAGCCCAGAAGCCATGTTGATAGTCCCTGAGTTTTCTGCACTCAAAGATAAAGAGTTCAATGGGTGGAGGTGAGGGACATAGATGGATTCCAGGTAAAGGAGCTGCAGGAACTAAGACTGGGAGAGGAAAGTGGTGGGCACATTCAGGAAACTGCAGGTCACAGGGGATGTTGCTGGTGTAGTTAGCAGAGGCTGGGTTATGAAAACCTCAAGTACCAGGAGCTGGACATGGTGGTGGGCACCTGTAGTCCCAGCTACTTGGGAGGCTGAAGCAGGAGGATCACTTGAGCCCAGGAGTTTGAGATCAGCCTTGGTAACATAATGAGACCTGCATCTCAAAGAAAAAAAAAAAGCGGGTGGGGGGGGGTAAACCTAGAGTAGCAGCTGAGGGGCTGAGTTTTCTCCTGAGAGAAGGCAGGAACAACAGGAGGGTTTTAAGCAGGGAAATTACTTTAACCCCTCTGGATTGTGAAGGGGGCTGAGGAGGAAGGAAGAAGGCCAGTGCAATGTTCCCACAGCAAGAGGCAGAGGCTGGCACTGGGCTTGGGCATGTATGGGGCAAGGGTGGAGTGCAGAAATTGTCTTGACCCTTTGGCAAGAGAGGTCCAGCCACTTGGCCCTGCCAGAGCCCCATTACTACCTGTCCCCCTTAACTTGGCACTATATAGGCTTTTACCTGACTCCTCTTCCTGGTCCTTCCCTGGCTCCTTGAGAAGCCACTTGGGTCCATGGCAGGGGTATAAGGGATGCGGGCCCCTTTCCTCTTGGGTTGTACATTTGCTGACAACAGGAGACAGGGAAGATTTGGAGGAAAGGGGAAAGAAGGGAAACTGAGGGACCTATGTGCCCCCACAGCCCCTCTAATCTCAAACACATGGGCCTTGAACTGCTGCAAAGGCTATAAGACTGGGTAGGAAGCTCAGGGTCTAAGTGAGGGGATGTTGCTGGCCCTCTAGAGTTCCCCAATCCCAGCCTCTCAGCACTCCAGGATCCAAAATGAAGAGAATCAGGCTGGGTGCAGTGGCTCACACCTGTACTCCCAGCCATTCTGGGAGGCTAAGGCAAGTGGATTGCTTGAGCTCAGGAGTTCAAGACCAGCCTGAGCAAGAGCAAGATCCATCTCTAAAAATAGCTGGGCATTGTATCAGGCACCTGTAATTCTAGCTACTGGAGGGGCTGAGGAGTTTGAGATTACTGTGAGGTATGACAACATGGCACTGTACTGAGGGTGACAAAATGAGACTCTGTCTCAAAAAACAAAAAGCACCAAAATGTAGGGAATTGTACAGCCCTGGATTCTCGGGGTGGGGAGAATTCACACATCATCTGCCCTCTCCAGCCTTCCAGACATACCCACACATACACAAGGCATAAGCCCTTCTGCAGCCTCACTAGAGAACTATTTGCATATCCCCATAAACAGGAGTTCACACCTCCCTCCTACAGCCCCTTCCATTGTGGGATGGACTTGGATAGGAATTGCAGCCCATCCCTAGCTATGTGACCTTGACCAAGTTACTTAAATGATCTGTGTCTGAGCCTCTTGATTGGAAAACTACAGATGGTGACCTGACTCCCAGAGCATGTTGTCAGGATTAAATGAAGTAACTTTAATAAAGCACATAGAGAGGTAGGGTTTGAAAAATGTTTTTTCCCCTACCCTTCACAGTCAGAAAGTTATTCTTTGTGTTTTTCTCAAACCTGCCCACCTGGGACTTCTACTGTGATTTCCAGCCTACCTTCTGGGACCTTTCGTCACATCTTTACCTCCAGTCTGAGATCTGTCCTCTGCCTCCTAGCTGAGAAAGAGAGCTATTCTTGGTTACACTGGCAAAGGTGGAGCATAGACGGTGGACAACAGTTCACCGGTGCTGAGCAGTTAGTCCCCATGAGTGTGTTATATGTTCACTAGGGACGAGGTAAGGGAATATCATGAAAAAGAAACTGGATAGGTCCGGAAGAAGCTGCACAAAAGTCTCCCTCTGCCCCCATCCCCATCTCCACCCCAGACTTCCCTGGGCTCTTCAAGAGAGTTACTGTCCCATCTGGTAGCCTCACAGGTCTCAAGGTTATGACTACTGTTTGCACACGTAGAAAGTGCCAGAATATAGGAGTATCTAGAAAATATTCGCTGAGTACATGAATAACGCTTGGAAATATTTCCTCAAATGCCAAAATACCAGGCACAGGACCAGAGCCTCCCCAGAGTGGGACGATGAGCTGTAGGAAGGAACTCTGCAATGCTCCCAGTAGGCCAGAAACACCTCAGCAGGGAGTGGGCACTGGGTAAGAAGCAGGGCCAGCCAGCCTAGAAGGCCCTGTCCTATAGGTCTGAGACTAAACCACTGTGGCAACCTTGCTCCTTAGATTCTAGAGCTCAGAGTCCTAGATCTAGAATTCCATGATCCCAAAGTTCTAGGGCAGCATTAACAAAGTTTTTCTTAAGGTCATATAGCAAACAATTATTTTAGACTTTGCAGGCCATATGGTCTTTGTTAACAGTTGGGGGTGGCTGTGTTTCAGTAAAGCTTTATTTAATAAAACAGACTGGTGGGCTGACTCTGGCCTTTAGGGTATAGTTTCCTCACCCCGTTCTAAAGTTTGTGAATAATAACATATGATCCTTATTTTCGTGGATCTCATGCATCCTCAAGGTTCTAGGGTTTGGAGGTTCTGGGTCCAGATCCAGGTCAGATGGCCCTGGTAATGTGGATGTGTGATACCTCCCTGCAAAGCCTCAGCTATGACTCAGAGGCAGTAGCACAGTGGTTACAGCATCGGCCACATACACCAAGGCTGGTGGGTTCAAATCCAGCCGGGGCCAGCTAAGCAATAATGACAACTGCAACAGAAAAATGGATGGTGTTGTGGCTGGCACCTGTAGTCCCAGTACTTGGGAGGCTGAGGCAAGAGTGCTTGAGCCCAAGAGTTTGAGGTTGCTGTGAGCTGTGACCCCATAGCACTCTACCTACGGCAACATAGTGAGACTCTGTTTAAAACTTAGGAAAAAAAAGCCTCAGACCCTGATGACTGTTCTCCCCACTCCTCTGGTCCCTGCAGAGCGATGGCAGAAGGCTCGGGGAATGACACCATCAATGACACCTGGGATAGGGATGAGCTGGGCTACAAATGCCGCTTCAACGAAGACTTCAAGTACGTGCTGCTGCCGGTGTCCTACGGCGTGGTGTGCGTGCTGGGGCTTTGTCTGAACGCTGTGGCGCTCTACATCTTCTTGTGCCGCCTCAAGACCTGGAATGCCTCCACTACGTACATGTTCCACCTGGCTGTGTCAGATGCGCTGTATGCGGCCTCCCTGCCACTGCTGATCTATTACTACGCTCGCGGCGACCACTGGCCCTTCAGCACGGTGCTCTGCAAGCTGGTGCGCTTCCTCTTCTACACCAACCTATACTGCAGCATCCTCTTCCTCACCTGCATCAGTGTGCACCGATGCATGGGTGTCCTGCGGCCCCTACGCTCGCTGCACTGGGGCCGGGCCCGCTATGCCCGCCGGGTGGCAGCTGTGGTGTGGGCGCTGGTGCTAGCCTGCCAGGCCCCCGTGCTCTACTTCGTCACCACCAGCGCCCGCGGAGGCCGCATCACCTGCCACGACACTTCGGCGCCCGAGCTCTTCAGTAACTTTGTGGCTTACAGCTCTGTCATGCTGGGCCTGCTCTTCGCGGTGCCCTTTGCCGTCATCCTGGTCTGTTATGTGCTCATGGCGCGGCGGCTGCTGAAGCCAGCCTACGGGACTTCTGGAGGCCTGCCACGGGCCAAGCGAAAGTCGGTGCGCACCATCGCGATTGTGCTCGCTGTCTTCACCCTCTGTTTCCTGCCTTTCCATGTCACCCGCACCCTCTACTACTCCTTCCGCTCACTTGACCTCAGCTGTCACACCCTCAATGCCATCAACATGGCTTACAAGGTCACCAGACCCCTGGCCAGCGCCAACAGTTGCCTTGACCCTGTGCTTTACTTTCTAGCTGGACAGAGGCTTGTGCGCTTTGCCCGAGACGCCAAGCCACCCACTAACCCCAGTCCTGCTACCCGGCCTGATCGCAGGCTGGGCCTGCGAAGGTCGGGCCTGCGAACGTTAGACAGAACTGACCTCCAGAGGGTGGAAGATATATCAGCCAGCAGTGAGGACTCCAGGCAGACAGAGTTCACGCCAACTGGCAGCGAGAGCACTAAGGACATCCGGCTGTAGGCTCCAAACCTCTTGGGCCTGTGCAAGTTTATATAGAGGAGAGGAGCTGCAGAGGACCAGGACTTGTGCAAATGGGATGGTCTCCCCTAGTAGGGCTCATCAGTGACTCATCCTAGATGACCAAGGAGGCCATGACCCCATGCTCTGTCATTTGGCAGGTATTGAGGATACTCCCTCCTCCATGGTCCAAAGGGGCAGCTGTCCCCATAGTCTCCAATCATCATTTATATGTGTGATTGGGGGAATAAGGTTTTAAGAAAGGCAAGTGTTCAGGGCCCGTGCTGCCCCGGGCCTGGCTCCCACACAGATAGTTGGCCATGCCTGCCAAGGTGCCTAGGCTGGAGTTCAGTCTGTTTAAGACAAATGGAGAAATAGGCCCCGAGAAGAACATATCTTACAGATGTTGCATAGCAAGGTCTGAGCCTGAGCTACCTGGGCTGGGGGTGAAGTCAGGCTGGCCAGAGGACCCTGATGAGTAGTCAGGGCTGAGTTCCCATGGTAGTCTGGGGCATGACTGGGTACCACAGTGGACTCAGCTCTGAGGAGTACCCACTTTCAGAGATGAACATCTGGGGACTGATGTCATAGACCCCTCTAGAGGCTCCCCTGGGCTGGGAGCCAATGTGAGACTGTAACTTATACTAAAGGTTTTGTTGCCTGCAAAACTGTGTCTCGCCGTGTGGTCAGAGGATGGGGATATGACTTGGGAAACTTTCAACATCCATATAAGGGTCCATTCTCCAATCTGTTCTCTTCTGCCACCTGCTTCCCCCTGGCAGTCTGAGAGGCAGTCTCACATCAGGGATCCCCTCTCTAGACCCCAGGTAATCCCCTACTTTGAACCTTCTGTGTCTGGCTCTGTGCCAAGCATAGAGAAGAGTCAGATGTGGTCCCAGTCTTTGGGATCCCCTAGTTTAGGGGATGACTGGTCCCTTCCTAGTAAATGTTAAACCATTAAACTGGATCTTCAGAGGGTGTGAGAGGAACCACTTACTTGTAACATTGCCAATTGAAAATGGTACAAATACTCCTACCATGGCCAATTCAAACAAGTGTGATGTCAACCCCTTTGTGAAATTTCTGAAAATTTAACAATTGGCTCTTGCAAGCAGGTACAAGTTACTCCAGCACTCCACTGGAGAGTGCTGAGTGGTTGGGGCTGTATGCCAGGGGATTCATAGAGTAGGTGGAGACTCCTGAGTTGTAGCTTCCGAGAAAAGCAGTTCACCAGGAGAACATCCAGGTGCAGGACACATCCTGGGCAAAAAATGGGGGCAAGAGAGCGTGACATGCTGGAAGCATAAGTGGGCTGGCCAATTGGCACAGGCTCAAGGCAGGGATGGTGCTGGGGCTGGGTCACTAGCAGGCCAAAGCGGGGCTCCCTCCTTGCCCTGACTATGAGGTTCCCATTACACTAGGGTAAGTGTGAGAGAGACTTAGTCTTCTTCCCATCCAGTCCTCTGCTTTCTGGGAAAATCCCTGCTGTGTGGCAGGATGGTTGGTGCTCGGGCTGGATCAGGGCTTAACCTAGGGGAGACAGGTCTCACCCATGACAGGTTCTGGGTCCAGCTGAACCACTCTGAGCCAGTTTTTGGAGTTCAGCTGGACAGGGCCCAGCCCTAGCTTTTGGGCAGCAGTGAGGCAAAGCTGACAGGCCAGAGAGCCCTTGCCCTATGGGCTGACCCTGCCTGACTCCTGTGACATTTCTACCCTTCCCACTCTACCTTGTCAAAGACAGAGCACCTCTAGGGGTTGCTTTATTCAGAGCCTAACTCCACAGCTCCCTCATGTGACCGACTCATCATAGGCCATGGCCCAAATGATAACTGCATTGTGCAATGAGGGTGATCTGCCCAGAATAGTGTAAGATATCTACCTCCTACGTTCTAGATCCTATACTTCCGTTAATGTCACCAGAGTTCCTCTGAGCTTTCTTGCTTCTTACAGACTGTCCTTGACCCTTCCAGCAGGCCCAAGCCTATCTTTCCTGCTGCTCAGGCTGAGCCCTATCCTGGATTATAAGAGCCCCTACCCAGCTGAGATGCTCTGCAAACCAGGAGTGTGAATGCTGAGTTCTGACCATCTCCAACCTGCTTAGACCTGGAGGCAGGGGTTGCAGACCTCATCCCTTTGGGACTCCTTAGTGTGCATCTTGATTGGGAGTGGGGTTATGCCCACCATAGGCCCAAGTTTCTCTAGCCCCCATTCCTCTCAGGTCCTGCCCACTTAGCCCTCCTGCAGCTGCTGTAGAGACCCTGAGAACCCAGGCCCCAAGGTAGATGGAGACAGCACTATGGTCTAGCTTTAGGAAGCTTTCCTTGAATTATTGCCTGTAGATTTCTAAGGACATAGGACCTGGGGTTCAGGAAGGGATTATTCGCCATCTAATCCTATGGCAGGCATGGTCAGGTGGGAAATGGAGACCCTCAGGGAACCAGGGACAGGCCCAGGACCCCACCTCTGGACCCCAGTTGGACTGCCCAGCCCCTAGGTATAGATACCCTTGCTGCTTGGTGCTGAGGCCACGTGCCTTGTGGGTGAGGTTTCTGTCCTGCTGCCTTGTGCTATTTTCAGCTCAAGTAAGACCAGGATTTTCCACTTGCAGGCCCAGACCATTGTCCAACTGTGCCGTGGGGGGACCTGCCTGCCCTCAAAATATCTCCTCTTACCCTCTGGGCCTCCCTGCCCCTCCCCACCTTCGCACCCTGACATCACTTCCTGAGGCTGTTGACTCATGAAGGCCACTATGAAAGGGCACGTGAGTCGCCCAGCCATGGGACAGGACCCCAGGGATTATCCAGACCAGCTGCAGACTCAAGGCCAAAGAGAGGCGGGGCCTTGCCCAAGGTCAGTCAGCAGGTCAGTGCGGCGCCTGGATGTGAGCCAGGGGCTCAGCTGCTCCTGCCTCTTCAGTGAAGATTGGTGCCTTGGTGGGAACCCTGCTGGGGGAACCCCACACTGACCAGCCCTTCCTACCCAGGTAAACAGAGCAGAGCCCTGCAGCTAAGGCAGAGGCATGGGCAGGGGATGGAGGAGAAAGAGGGTAGAGATCAATGTGGTGGGGGAGAAAATGCCACTGACACGAACACGGTGCAGCAGCTGTTACTGATGGGCTCCAGTGACCAGGGCAGGAGCCTTGGCACATAGTGGTCTCTGTCCTGGTAGCACCCAGGAAGGAGGGGGAATCCCAGAGGACATTCCCACTCTCACCCCCCAGGGTTGTGCCTAGACAACATTTTGTTGTTTTGTTTCGTTTTGTTTTTTGAGACAGAGTTTCATTTTGTCACACTTGGTAGAGTGCTATGGCATCACAGCTGACAGCAACCTCAAACTCTTGGGTTCAAGCAATTCTCTTGCCTCAGCCTCCCAAGTAGCTGGGACAATAGGCACCTGTCACAATGCTCAGCTATTTTTTAAAGACAAGATCTCGCTCTTGCTCAGGCTGGTCTTGAACTCCTGAGCTCGCCTCAGCCTCTCAAGTGCTGGGATTACAGGTGTGAGCCACCACCTCGACCACATGCTCTCCATACATAGTTGCTTCAGTCTTGATCTAAGTGAGGTCACCAAAGCCAACCTCCTGCCACCTCATCATGGCAGATTTGGGCTGATCTGTTTAGTAAAAGGCAAAAGATTATAAACCTAAAGGGAAACCAGAGTATAGGCTGGGCTGATCTGTTTAGAATCTGGCACATGGGGAAGGGAACTCATGTACTGAGCCAGGTCCCAGGCACCACGTGGGCCCCTCTCACGTACAGATAGTACATGTTCTTCACAACAACCCTGTGAAGCAGACATTATCATCTCACTTAGCAGATGAGGAAAAGAGAAGAGAGAGAGAAGGGAGGACTCAGGTTACACAGGCAGAAGGTGGCTTGAGATTGAGTCCTGGTCCATCTGATGCCCAGATCCATGCCCTTTCTGGTATCCCACACCACACCCACTCCCTGCAGGGCAAGAGAATCTGTAAGTGACCCTTCACATGATTCAAGATGAGGGAGGCACCATAGTGAAGATGAGGGTGAGGGCACAGATGTTTCACCCAGATTGCCTCGGTTGGAGTGTTGTCTCTACTTTTCCAGCTGTGGCACTTTGGACAAGTTACCTAATCTTGAAGCACCTCAGTTTTCTCATTTCTAATATGAGATAAGATCTCCCACACAGGGCATTTGGGGGGCTTACCTGAGCTAATACACCTGAAACACCAAAAACAGTGCCTGGCACCACGCCAGGGGATACAGCGGCAAACCAGCTGGGCCCTCCCCTCAGAGAGCCGATGTCACTTAATATGTAATCATATTAGAATAACTATTTTAAAGGGGAGGATAGTATGTCTGGTCAGTGTGCAGTGGGGGCCCAACATCCCCCGGGACCCTCTGTGGGAGCAGGAGGAGGGAAGCAGGTCCATCCTGCAGGAAAGTGTGGGACCAGCCTCTGTCCAGCCTGGCACTGGGCAGATTTCACCCCATGGTCCTGTGCTGTTTACAGAGCCTTGTCCAGGTGCCTGGCTGTGGGAGGGGATCAGGGAGGGGGCAGTGGGAGGGGAAGGAGAGGAAGTATGGCCCCTGTAGGATAAAGAGCTCCCACCCACCCATCACAGCAGGTCGGCCATTTCTTCTTGAATGGTGGTCTGCAGCCACACTTTGGATCAACCAAGTCCCAAGATCAAGTATGGAAGGACCATTCTGGAACTAGGGCCAGGGCAGGCAGTGAATGGGCAGCTTTTGCTATGTGACTGCCTTCTCTGGGCCACACTGGAGCCTGGAGACCTAGCTTCCCATGCTGCAGTTCCCCACCTCAGCTAAGACATCAGCCGCCTCCTTCCTCATCTAAGGCACAACTGACAGCTTCCCCCAGGCTTTAGACCCTCCAGGCCCTTGGTTCTGAGGACTAGAGTGGTGGCAGTGGGTCTCCCCGGCATTAAGTGACCAGAAAGGTGAAGTGACTTCACTGTTATCACACAGGGCCATGCAGTGCCACATGGTTCAAGCCCGAAAGGTGAAGGGTGGATGGTGGCCAGGAGTGACTGGGCTGCAGGGTGAGGGATGTGCTTGTGTGAGTGAGGGATGGGCTCCAGAGTCACACTCTCATCCTCTGCCCCAATGCACTGTGTAACTTGAGTGGATCTCTACTCCCTCCAGGACTCAGTTTCCCTTTCATGTGTCTTGGCCCTATCTAGCCACTCTTCCTCTAGTAGGGGCTTCCTGGGCTTTCCTCTTGGCTTCAGTTCAGCCAAGTATCCAGTCTCAGTTCAGTCCCAGCCAGGAACAATGGACCAGGCGGAACCAGTCACTCACTGGCCCCAAACCCTGTCCTTAGGGGTTCCACCCACCAATTTGAACTATTTTCAGCCCTTGCTGATGAAGTCAGACAAGGACTTTCCACTCCCTGCACAATGACTTCCCTGGACCATTGTATAGCAGTGACACAGGGGACCCACCTGTCCCCAAATATCCCCTGCCCCTACCCTCTGGGCCTCCCTGCCCTGCTCCTCAACTCCCCACCCTGATATTGTTTCCTGTAGGACATTGTGAAACAGCACATGAGAACCCTGGGAGACATGACCAGTTGGAATCAATTTTCTTTCCTGGCAGGGGCCCCAGGGATTGTTTGCTTAGTGGGGCTAGAGGCCCAGAGAAGGCTATGCCTTGTCCAAAGTCACACAGCA